TGGCCTCTTAGTAATGGGTCGAACCAAAGAAAGTATAGATCATCTTCACTCGGTGTTCAGCGATTTCAAGGGGAGAAACTCAAGATGTAAGGTACGAAGACCGATGCGCAATTCTGAACCAACACACAATGGCTTAATAAAGAAAGTTTGAGCATAATATTGTTAAGTGACTCTCGTAAATATTGCACAATTGTAGGCTTGGAACAAAGCCTGTGAAGCTATGTATCAGCAATATTGGGCATTGGTGATTGGTTCTCCAAAAGACAAGGAAGGACTAATTTCAGCTCCTCTTTCAAAGGTATCTCTCTCATTTTACTTGTGATGCCTCTGAATCGGGAAATGATTTCTAAACTCTGTGTGTTTAGGTGCTTCTAGATGATGGAAAAACAGACAGGGTGGTATTGGCTCGAGACTCAGGGTTTGAAGCTTCACAAGAAGCAATAACAGAGTATAGAGTGTTAGGACCTATGATCAACGGATGCTCATGGTTAGAACTTCGTCCTATTACTAGCAGAAAGCATCAGGTACTTTGCGACCCCCTCTTTACCATTTATTTGTGAAAGATTTTGTTTTTGTTTCTCTTTCTTGATCGAGTTACCTTTCTTCAAACAGCTACGTGTACACTGTGCCGAAGCTCTTGGTACGCCAATAGTAGGTGATTACAAGTACGGTTGGTTCGTCCACAAGAGATGGAAACAGATGCCTCAGGTTGATATCGAACCAACCACTAGGAAACCGTATAAACTGCGCAGACCAGAAGGTCTTGATATCCAAAAGGGAAGCGTCTTATCCAAAGTTCCCTTGCTGCATCTGCATTGCCGGGAAATGGTACTTCCGAACATCGCCAAGTTTCTCCATGTCATGAACCAACAGGAAACGGATCCGGTTCACCCAGGAATCATCAGTAAGCCTGATCTCTTGCGGTTTGTGGCTTCAATGCCTAGCCATATGAAGATCAGTTGGAACATAATGTCTTCGTATTTGGTGTAGCTTTTCTGGTTCCTTTTATTTGTTTAAATGACAGCTTCATATTGAGAATATTTGTATTGTACAGTCTTATACACCCATCTTTTTCAAAGGTAAGTATTACAAATGAATCTGGCTCTGGTTTTACTCACCTTGGAATATTCTCTTGACACAACTTTGGATATAAAGTTGGGATTGGTTGCAAAAAAGGATAAGCCCATGTGCGTAAATATATATACAGACTAAGCTAGTGATCATAGTTTGGAATATCTATCTACAAAGGCCTTGGCTTTGTCAGGTGCGAAAAAGCGTGCCTACACATTAACAGTTCAGAGCTTTGTGTCATATAGTTTCTACTCATTTGTATTGGAACGAAAAAAAGTTTAAATGAGTTTATATGATTCACCTGGATGAACATTCTCTCTGCATCTCCTCTGCTTCCATTTTCTTTCAATATAATTCCCTATAACACCAGTCCACATGGAATTATGAGCATGTGGATCGCCTGACTTACTCAGGCAGGACGAGAATATTACCTTAGCCAAGTAACCTCGGAAGTCTTCAGGATGATCAGTGATAAGCCGGTCATAGACAGCTATAGCGTCGCTGATATGTCCCCAGTCTGAATAAGCTTTTCCAAGAAGCAACTCAACCTGAGCATAGATTGCCCCAACATTTCAAATCAGTAGAAGTCACAAAATTGAACCTAGTATAGGTTTATAGATTTATATGATATGATTGTGGTAACAGGTTTCTTCGGAAGTAACATACAAACAGATAAGCCTTCTACTAGAACACTAAGAGATGGATCGTGAGGAGTTGGTTTGACTGGTATGGTCATGAGTCATGACTAGAACATTATGTTCAAGAAACCAGCTTACCTGAATTGGGTCTAGATTTGTTTCACTTTCAGCTGTAACACTGTCTGCTATGCTTATTTTCCCTGTATTAAGACGTTCACGAGTGGCCAGAAGAAATTTGACAGCCTGAGAATCATGAAAAATGTGGATAGAAATGAATCGATTGAGATGTTAAGAGTACTTAGGATTAAGCTTCTGAGACAAAGGGTAACATAGACCTGGAAGAAACATAATTACCTCGTCTGGTTTTTTAGCAGCTAAATACGCATTCATGAGGCCTCGTGTGACTTCAAGATCAATGCCTTTAGAAACCTAGAGAAATATAACAAAAAAAATAAATAGAACATCAGTTAAGGAAAGCAAAACTGTTTGCCAAAACTCTTTTAACAACATACACATGGTAGTAGCAATTATTTCAATGCAAGTAGAAAAGCTATGAAAAAAGTTATCAGGATAAATTGAGAATATTTACCTTTTCGGAAATCCTGTAAGCAGCGATACTGCCATCATAGTTCTTAAGTTCATAGTTTACTTCTCCAAGCAATCGAAAGACATCAGGGTCAGTTGGTCTCTCCTACAGAGTAAGAATCTCACATTGTGCAAACTATTAGCTAAGTCTCATATCAGCATGTTCTTATGCAACAACTTGACATAATGCACAATCATAGCAAGAAAGAAACAAACCTTAGCCAATTTCTCCAGAAGCGTGGCAGCCCGTGAATACTCTCCTAGTTCAGTCAATGTCACAGCTGCGCCCTGCACAATCCCCCAACTTTAAGAAATTTTGTACTGTCATAAATAGTTCAGAAGAGGAAGCCCTGTCTAGTTATCAGGGTCACTGCTAGCAACTTCAGCAAATAAGTCAAATTTCATGCAGTCCAAGATACGTGGACATTATACTCATTCGAGAAGGACAAATGGAAACTTAAAACATAAGCAACTCAAAATGTTCTTAATCTTTGGCGACCGGAGTATTAGTTTAAGTTCTTTTCACTATGTTATTGGCAGCCTACAGGGAGATGAATGGCTAAATGCCCATAAAGAAGACATACAACCGTATGCACAACATACACATTGTCTTAACTCACCTCCAAAGCAGCTTGATCCTCAGGAGTGCCATTTAGCGTTGTTTCGAACTCTTTGAGCCTTTGCTGCCAAAACAAATAGTTTAAAGATGTTCACGGCATCTCTTGCTTGATTCATTTTACCAAAGTAAATGAATAAAAATTTCATGAAAAGAAAAACATCAACCTCTTATTTTACCTGAAGCGTGGCTTTCTCCTCTTCTGAAATTTTATTTTTAACCACCGCGGTGTTCTCGGTTGGACTATCACTGAAAAGTGAAAAACAACATTGTTTGAAACTGAGATCCGCTAAATCATCTGAAAACATGACTTGGTGAATCAAGGAAACTAGTAACACAGTTCTCATTTGGACTTGGAAGATGTCTCCAATTGAATAAGGCTACTAAAAGACTGATCACATCAACGTATCTTAGTAGTCATAGGATAAGAAAGCCTCTAAAAGATAACCCACCTTCCTGTGGGAAGAAAGTCTCCAAGAGCAAAAACTAAACCAAAGACAACAACAGCTATGCCAACTCCCACCTGTCATGGCATAGCAAGGAGATTTCAACAATGACACTATATAAGGCCTCAAGCGGTTTTAGGAAAAAGACAAGTGCACACTTTTGTAAGATAACAAGTGTGTGTACCTTAGTACCAAGCCCAATTGTTTTCTGATCAGACTGGACTGGTGCATCATAGTCTATTGGACCAAATTCTTTAACCACTTCTGTCTTTTTCTGCTCAAGAGCTGACCTGGTTCATCAAAAGGGCCATCCGAGGTTACAGGTTTCACTTCTTACGTAAGCACCCTGCTATCTATAATACCCTAAAGCCTATTCGCAAGCTAGGATCATAAGACACGTGTACCTTCTGATGGTTTCTAGCCGTTCCTCAAAGTCTATATCGAAAGATCGACCAGCTTTTCCTTCAAACTGAGAACTCAGTCCAGGTGCCTCTACAAGCAAATGCAGGAGCAAAAATAAAACCCAGACACAAAATGCCTTTTTGATTTTTAATCATTTTTTTTTCCAGTTAAACTGAAGAATGCAAAAAGAAGTTACGTAATTATACTTACTTCTTGGTACAGAAACAGACTGTTTAGAAGATGATTTCCTGCAGCGACAAGATAAAAAAAGGGTACAATGATTAGCCAAATATAAAGTAAGTCCATATGAAATACAACATCATTGGAAACTATCAAATGAGAAACACAAACACAAAGACTATACCTTTGCTGCAATGCCGGATCTTTCTCTTCCTGTGATGTGATTTCACATTTTTGTCTCAGTACTTTGTATGTATAAGATAAGTTCAGAAAATGAAAAGAAAAATTCAAATTAACAGGAGTAATTCAGCAAATGGAAACATCACAATCGTAAAGGCGAAGAATTTCTGGAGTCATACCTTTTTGGGTCCAAAACCGCGCTTAGGATTAGAATCCGAGCAACGAATTCGAAACGCGAGAAGCTTTGAGTTTAATGAAACGGCGTTTGCCGGCGCTACTGTCATGAACATCCTCTGCAATTTTCCCAAGGAAAGATTTTTCTAAGAAATTATCAGAGAAACGATGAATAGTTAACTTCAAAGTACAAACACGTACAAAGTCACGGACAGAAACAGTTTGTCGGAGACTGACGATGAGAGGTGAGCTCCGTGATCGGACCGGTGAGGTACTACTACTGAGTATGATAATGTTAGTGGTTCTTCTTTTTTTGCAGATTATTTATCTATGGGCCGACGTATGCGAATATAAGTTCTAGGCCCATATATGGGGTAAATTCGGTGGCCCAATAGCAGCAAACAATTCAAAATTGTTGGGCCTTTTAATAATTCGAGCTGTAATTACTAACGAGAATGATGTCAAGTGACCATTCTGATGAAGTGGCAGCATCGCATTGGATAGGATGTGTCACTACTGCTAAAATTACCATGGAACCACTAAGCAGGGAAAGCAATTAGGCTTTTTTCTTTTTTAACAGAAAAAAGTAAATTAATTTAGGAAAATAGCGCAAAAAACAATTCTGAAATTTCTCTGAAAAGTCTTCGGATTAACGGAGACAAAAGACAGAGAGGAGAGCACTTCTTCGGCTAGGACAAGCTTTGGCTAATGGCGGTTTCCTTCTGATCACTCCCCGGAGCCGTAATTCTTCCTCTCTGTTTTTACCAAATTTAGGGTTTGTTTTACGGAGGAGCTGTTTCTACGCATCTTCTTCTTTTCTGCTCAAATTCTCGTTGATTCGCTTCGCATTCATTTTCTGTGTAGATCATATAAATTTCTCTTAGTAAGGAATTCAGATCTAACCCGATTTTCTCGATCGACGTAATGGTGTTAGGCTAATTAAGTCCCTTGCGTTTTACACTGAAAACTTACTCTGATTAGATCTTGGGGTCTCATGCGCTGTTTGTTTTTATCTGGGCACTGGAGATTGTAGATGCGTTTTTGTACACCGGAAATGAAGAAAAATGTAGCTGTAGCTTTACTTGGATGAGTGTGATGTACATTCATTTTGAAAATATTATTCGGTAGGTAAAGAGAAACATCAGGACTTAATACTTTTCTATTTTTTTTTCCCAGAAAAGTCGTTTATGGTGGAAACATTTTGTGACAACTCTCATTACGGACTGAGAAAGTTTGGAGGAATCAAGATAAAGCTAGACTTGGAGGGTTCGTACTAACTTGTGCTCGTTGTATGATGCGGTGTTAAACATTTGGAAGAAAAATTTGTAGTATTAACAAAATTCAGCGTCCAAGTTCTGGGGCGGAGTTGCCCCGTAGCACCGATTTCACGCCTCTACCCATAGTCCGGAGGGCAAATTCAGCTCAAAACATGATGATGGATGAAGATGTTGAGCAGGCCAGTTTGATGTCTTTCAATGACAGGCCGAGGGCTTTTCCCAACATGCGTAGTAAAACCTACAGTCCATTGGTAAGACTATTACTGCTCTCTTTGTTGTGTGCTTTCTCTTATTGCTTGCGTCGGATCATTAAGATTCGTATGAAAAGACCTTCTGCGATGCTATAGCTGGTTTCCCTCTATTGCATCTTAGTTTCTTAGGACATTCTCTTTTCGTCTCCTTTGAAATCTTAAAAAATTGAGTTGTTTTCTTTCTTGGCAGATTTTCCGGATTCTTAGGAAATTGAATGTTCGTGTTCTTTCTATACTTCTACTAATCTGCTTCGGAGCCATCTTTTACATGGGAGCTAGAACTTCTCCCATCATCTTGTTCGTCTTCATAGTGTGCATCTTCAGCTTCCTTTTGTCAGTATATCTAACCAAGTGGGTTTTAGCGAAAGATGAAGGACCTCCAGAGATGGTTCAGGTAAGCGATCTTTTACATGTTAGTCATGATGTTGGCTTTTTCTTCTTCTTTGTTCTCGTCAAACTTTCTTAATGGTGATTCTCTTACTTCTAGATATCAGACGCTATACGTGATGGAGCTGAAGGGTTTTTCAGAACGCAGTATAGCACTATATCCAAGATGGCCATCTTGCTAGCTTTTGTGATTCTTTGCATATATCTATTCCGTAACTTGACTCCCCAGCAAGAGGCTGCTGGTTTAGGAAGGTGATGATGATTCATGATTACATTCACAAGATTTGTTTTATCCTTTTTTCTAATTGTTGTTGTTGTGAATGATACTGAGCTTATATTAATATTTTCTGCAGGGCGATGTCTGCCTATATTACTGTTGCTTCATTTCTTTTGGGGGCGTTATGCTCAGGTATTGCTGGATATGTTGGAATGTGGGTGTCAGTTCGTGCTAATGTGCGGGTCTCAAGTGCTGCTAGACGATCTGCGAGAGAAGCATTGCAGGTTATTTTTTAATTTAATTATTTATTAGCACGACATCCACATATTACCAAATACTAAGTGGCAGATATAATGCAGATAGCCGTTCGTGCTGGTGGGTTTTCAGCCCTGGTTGTTGTTGGTATGGCTGTGATTGGTATCGCTATCCTTTACTCAACGTTTTACGTTTGGTTGGGAGTGGATACACCAGGCGCAATGAGTGTTAATGACCGTAAGTCTTCTGTTTTGCTTTCCATGAAAATTAATTCCATTTTCATTTTGTCTGCATAGTCTATACATCATCGTACTGAGATTACTTTTCTAAGATTCAGTTTCAGTGAGAAGCAGTACTTTTTGTTAATTATGTTATGGCGTAAGTTGAGCAGTCAACCCTATATGCTCAACCAGAAACAGTGTACATAGATTCTCATTGCTGGAAACTCGACACTAATATTTTTCATGATCTATTGACTTGTTAGCTTTGTTGATTGAATCTTTCTGTTTCTTTTACAGTGCCTCTTCTTCTCGTGGGATATGGTTTTGGTGCTTCGTTTGTTGCCTTATTTGCTCAGCTGGGTGGTGGAATATACACTAAGGGAGCTGATGTTGGGGCAGATCTCGTTGGAAAAGTTGAGCAGGGTATTCCCGAGGATGATCCTCGAAATCCTGCTGTTATCGCTGATTTGGTATTCCATCTCTGTCCGTTCTGGTTCTTGCTTTCACGATTTTTTTTTTTACCAAGGCTATTTTTTTAGCCATTTAGGTTTTGAAAAGTATTTTTCATCTTCTTGTAGGTTGGAGACAATGTGGGGGACTGTGCTGCTAGAGGGGCTGATTTATTTGAAAGTATAGCTGCAGAAATCATCAGCGCAATGATATTAGGCGGAACAATGGCTAAGAAGTGCAAAATTGAAGGTTTGTGGGGGATCTCTCTTAAAAGTTGCTTCTCACATGAAATATATCTGATGTATGATTTGAGTTCCTATCTTTTGCTGATAAAATCAAATGGACATCTAGGATTATAATTTGAAATGCAACCCTAAGAAATTGTGTAGAGAAGTCAAGCTCATAAAATTTCATCTGTTGTCAAAACAGTAGTCTAACCTCTTTATGGTTGTTTTTGCCACTAAAATTGTAAAGAATTTGTAGTTTACAATACCTTGTATGAATCTGTGTATGCATTATGTGAAAATTGAATGAAGACTACTCTTCATGACATTTTTAGTGTTAGTGACACTTGATTGCGTCAAGTCTTATGAATATAATTACCTGGCCATTTCTAGCCGTGGTGGTTGAACTAGTATATGGGGTTTGGCAGTTTGAAGTTAGGAAGATGGTTAAAACATTGAATGGTAAAAATCTGTGCTTACTCTAATTTTTGTGTATTACGCAGATCCATCAGGCTTCATCCTATTTCCTCTGGTTGTTCATTCTTTTGACTTGGTAATATCATCAATTGGTATATTATCAATCAAGGGAACACGTGATGCTAGCGTTAAATCTCCGGTAGAGGACCCAATGGCTGTACTTCAGAAAGGATATTCTCTGACTATTATATTAGCCGTTTTGACTTTTGGCGCGGTAATGTTTTCTACACCGACCATTGATTATCTTCTTCCTTCTGTTTCAATTCACAATCAATGCTACTTTTTGGATTAAACTTCTCATTGATTTTGTGCACTCATGCACATAAGTACACATCTACCCTTGTGAAAGTCCTTGTTATTACTCTAATATCAACTGAATTACAAATCCTCTTCTGACATCATTATTTATGTTTTGTAGTCCACTCGCTGGCTGCTTTACACTGAACAAGCTCCATCTGCATGGTTCAGTTTCGCTCTATGTGGGTTGGTTGGCATCATCACAGCCTATGCCTTTGTCTGGATATCAAAATATTATACGGACTATAAGCATGAGCCTGTTAGGACGTTGGCTCTTGCTAGCTCGACTGGTCACGGGACCAATATAATTGCTGGGGTCAGCTTGGGTCTGGAATCGACAGCTCTTCCTGTCTTGGTAATAAGTGTTGCTATAATTTCTGCTTATTGGCTGGGCAACACCTCGGGACTAGTGGATGAAAACGGAACCCCCACTGGAGGTCTATTTGGAACAGCTGTTGCTACAATGGGAATGCTAAGCACTGCAGCTTATGTTCTTACGATGGACATGTTTGGCCCCATAGCTGATAATGCTGGTGGGATTGTCGAGATGAGCCAGCAGGTAAATGTCACATGATTGGTTCGAAAGGCTCCTCTGCTTTATACTAATACTAATTTAGCTGTAAATAAATGTCTCGTGTAGCCAGAAAGTGTCCGTGAGATCACTGATCTTCTCGATGCTGTTGGGAACACAACAAAAGCAACAACAAAAGGGTTTGCCATTGGATCTGCTGCACTGGCGTCGTTTCTTCTTTTTAGTGCGTATATGGACGAGGTTTCAGCGTTTGCTAATGTGCCTTTCAAACAGGTAAAATATTATTACATAGCCTTGATGTATACTCCTTGTTCAAGCAGCTTCTCATGCTCATCCTCGGATCAAAACAGGTTGATATTGCTATCCCAGAAGTCTTCGTAGGTGGATTATTGGGTTCCATGCTTATTTTCCTCTTTAGTGCTTGGGCATGCGCAGCAGTTGGTCGAACTGCACAAGAGGTTGTTAACGAAGTAAGAAGACAATTTATTGAGAGGCCTGGCATAATGGTGAGAGAATAGTTTTCTGTTTTAAGCGATTTCTCATTCTCTTATGCCGATTGGCTTGTCGTTGATGATTAGCAAAACTAACATCCTGTAACAGGAGTACAAGGAGAAGCCAGATTATAGTCGCTGTGTTGCCATCGTCGCAAGTGCAGCTTTAAGAGAAATGATAAAGCCAGGATGTTTAGCTATAGCATCACCAATTGTAGTTGGTAAGTCAGTAATGCTTTATAGTCAGCTCTTTTTTCATTTCTTGTATTGAATCGAGAAGATTGTGACCAAAACAAACCTCTTGGGCTCTCTCAGGTTTGGTGTTCCGAGTCTTGGGATACTACACGGGACAACCACTGCTCGGAGCTAAAGTTGTAGCTTCTATGCTCATGTTTGCAACAGTTTGTGGTATCTTAATGGCACTTTTCCTAAACACAGCGGGTGGTGCTTGGGACAACGCAAAGAAATACATAGAGACCGGTGCGCTCGGTGGCAAAGGAAGTGAAGCCCACAAAGCAGCCGTGACTGGTGATACGTAAGCATTTCGCTTTTCCTTAAAAAAAAATCTCAATCAAAGTATAGTTCTATCACTAAACGTGATTTTCTCATTCGTATTCATTTTGAAATTGCAGTGTGGGAGATCCGTTCAAGGACACGGCCGGTCCCTCAATTCACGTGCTCATCAAAATGCTCGCGACTATAACTCTTGTCATGGCTCCGGTTTTCCTCTGAAAGAGAACCGTTACCTATCCGTTGTTTTGCCCTAAAGACCGTCTCTTGCACATATACATAGAGATAGGGAGAGAGAGAGGTTGGTTATGATTATGAATGAGTCACATGAATCAATGCTTTTGTGTTTCATTTCATCTGAATAAAACGAGATGTTTTCTGTTTTTTTTTAGTTTAGGGGACACTTTTAAGCGATTCTAGAGACATTTTAATCAACTACATGTTTGACTTTAAGGATCTTCTTAACTCTCACTCTACTAGATTTCATCTTTCTAGCACTTTTTACTCTTCTCGAAATGCCTTGTACTCGCACAGACATTTGTCTACTCCGTAGCCTCGTGAGGCGCCGGTTGCTGCCACGATTCTGGTTATGTTTGCTTCCTCGTCTTCTTCTTCTTCCCCGCTTCGGTCTAATGTTCTTCTGTGTGGGACTGAGACTGTTCGATGAACTTGGCTCCACGTCGCTTGCGTAATCGTAGCTCCCGGCTTCTATGTCACGGAGACGTTTTCTGCGGTAGACACGTTTAGTGTTCCTCAAACTGTGCCACAAGCAACGAATCATCTCTCCAATGGCTAACCAGTACATTGCACAAGCTGCACAAGACATTTTGCACATGCCTTTGACTACACATTGGCAGATTCCAAGCTTGAACAAGAGGGTGATGAACATCAAAACTGCCAAAAGAAGAAACGCAAATTTATCCAAAAGAGGAAAAAAGTTAAAAGAATATATAATTATTACTAAAAATATAAAAAGAGAAGGAGAGAAAGGTTACTTATCAAGCAGAGGCCCGAGATCAAGACTAGCTTCGCAATATCAGGTATACAGAAATGTTCTATGAAACATGATACATCCCATGGCCCCGAGCATACACTTCTGTAATTAATAAACAAACAAACAGACAAAAATGGCGATCGAAAGTCAACCAAACCAATTGATTTTTGCGACAATTCGGTCTTACGTCAGACAATATTTAAACGATGATAACGTGGAAAATCTTACAGACAGGATCTTCCAAGTGTGGCTTTGAACGGTGCTGTGAGTACATTGCCAATAAAACCTCCGATGTCGGTTGATGCGTTGCCTAATGCGTTTCCCATTTTGCTTAATACTTTAAATCGGTGAGGATCTTTTCGCAGTTAATCAATCAATCACTCTCTTGATTGATGATTTTCACAGCAATCATTTTTATCAAACGTAAAGTGATGAGTACTTTTAGAACTTTCCGAGAGTTTTCAGAATATGAATGAAGTTACCATCTTCGCATACAGTTTCCTCTGTTTCAGACACAATTAAAAAAGAGGCCAGAAACCGTTTCCAGATGGAAAATTTTGGAATTATATTTCATGTCTGCTTCTCTATACTGATATTAATATAACGTTTTTCTTATTAAATGTAATGTCATATTTTTTCAAAACTTTTAATAATTTGATGCCAACAATCCATACACTTGCCCTTAAAATAAAATATCAACATCATTTTTTTTTTAATAAATAGAATTTTATCCGGTTTTGTTGTATACAAGAAGAGTACAAGTAAATACACTAGCAGCTATATGAACAAAAATGAAAACAAACAAAACTGAAGAAGCTTCAGAGAAACTTTTTAGCCTATATAATCTAAGAGGTTTCATTGTGAGTTTGAAGCTCCCCTAAACCCAAGAAATCAGCAGCAAACTCTTCATCGTTTTTGCCTAACATTTCGTGTAATGTACATTCTATGTTCCTCTCTCTGAGTACCCAAAACCTCGGTTTTATCCTCTTCTCCAGCGAGTAACTGAAATACCTCGGGTACTCTATCACCTCTTTAACCGGTTTCTTCATGCTCTTCACCAGAAACTCTAACTTGGGTCTAAGCACTTTGTCGATGCTGTATCCTAATATCGGTGAGAATTTACGGATCATGAAGGCAATCTCTCTCTGTGATATCCCAATCCCCATCAGGTACTTCAGCCTGCAAGAGCATATGATCACAAAATCAGGGGTCATGCTAAAAGAAAGATCTTACTGAGATGATGATTCGTTAATTTGGCTGAGACAGATACCGAGGAAGTAGTGTTTTGTCTGCGTCGTATATGAGAAACTCCGGGTACTTCTTTATGATTCGTGGAAACTGGGCACTGGAAACACCGAAACGAGTGAGAAAGATGAGCTTTTTCTGCAGGGTTTTGTCGATGCTGCAGCCAAATATCTCAGGACATCGACAGAGGATTTGACCCACGATTTCCTTTTCAAATCCCATATCTTCCAAAAAGGAAACAACCTGTTACAAGACGAGATATCACGTATGTCAAAGAGAAACAATCTTGCACGATAGTAGAATGAGAGAATGAATACACATCTTGTGAAACCGGTGGCTTCTTTTACCTTGAGAAATTTTTGAGGTTTACATAACAAAAGCTGAGGCATCTTGGGTATAACCTTTCCCATCCTTTTATTTCTAACACCTAATTTATCAAATTCTTCTACCATTAACTTCATATTGTTCGTCGAGCAACCGAGGAGTAAAGGCCATCTTCTAATTGCATGATCAATATCCATTTTGAGCACCTAAGAAAGTAATATTATAGCAAAACCATGTCTTAGTAAAAGACCAATCATGGAATAACACAATGAGAAAAGAAACCTTAACATAATTTAGATTGAAGATAAAACTAATGAGCAGTTTATCATCCCTACTGCATTAAGGAACCAAAAGAAAACAACACAGAACCATGCTTACAGATTCACGATCTAGTAACGAGACGATGCTTGAATAGTTTTCTTGTATACTCGGTGATAGAATCCACGGATACTTCAGCAACACTTTACCAGAATCCGAATACATCACATTAACCTGAAACGATACAACCCCAATTTGAAATAATCAGCAACAACAAGAAAACGAAGAAAGTGCAGCTCCATGCTTAATATTTACAATCAACCCATTAAGCATACCTTGTCCAGAGCTGCGGATACTCTTCTTTTAATCTCCTCAGTTTTGCTGAGCATGATAGGAGGGTACAAGAGAAGTACCTTCCCTAAGCAATCTTTAGGAATTCCAATGCTCTCAAGAAACTCTACCATAGGCTTCATATCTTTTTCTTCAGAAAGTAGAAGAAGCCGAGGGAATGACTCGATTAGAAATCTGAAAGATGCATCTACAGAGCCCAACATATCCAAGCCTCCACGTCTTGCTTCAATCTAAAGGACGATTGAAATTTCATCTTACTAAACAACACAGTGCTTCTACAAAAAAAGATTAAATACCACAAGAACTGAGGAAAGACGAAACCTTTTCGAAAAAGGACAGAGTTTGCTGCACATCTTCATCAATAGGAATGGATAAGTAGAGCATCATTCGTCGTGCATACTTTCCTACCGGACCTTTCTCATCACTGCCAGAAAAGAATATTTCCTTCAGGTACTTAACCTATAATCCAAATCCAAGATTAAGTACCATGCCAAATCCAAATTCCACAACCTAACTCAATCACACAACACTAGCTACTCGATTTTGATGCAGAACCAAATATTCCTTTCTCCTAACGTATCTGTATTATTGATTGCTGTAATGTATATACAGAGGAAGGAACCGAACAATTTGTTCAATACCTTATCGAGAAGTTTCGGGAGCGATTCAGAGGCGAGGTAATGAGCCAAATACGTTGCAGAAGACAAACTCAAACCGAGACTCTCCAAAAACGCAACTTTCCCACCATCGCCCTTCTGCTTCACCATATATATCACTTTCTCTTTAAACCCTAAACCCTCCGATTCCCCACTCCCCTTCCACGAATTCCACTCCTCCAATTCCCTAACACCCTCTACGATCATTCGCGTGTATTTTGGAGAATTCTCAGAGATGAAATCTGAATCCGCTTCGGAGAGCCCAACCTCGTGTCGGAGAAACCCAGAAATGGATTCCTGCGCGAGAGAGATATGGTCCTCATGATTACTCTGCGAAGAATTAGAGCTAGGGCTCGAGTCACCGTGCTGAAACGAGGCCGACACAGCGACGCCGCCACCGTGGTAAGACGGGAACAAGGTTACGCGACGAGGAGAGAAGAAGAGAGAGCTAGAACCAAAGTTACAAGAGTGTAAAGGAGGAGAAATCAAGGTAAGGGTTTCGAAATTGCAAGAGGTGTTGAAAAAAAGCTCCATAAACATGGTACTTTGCTTCTTCTTCTACCCACATAGAATTGAAGAAGAAGAAGAAGAGAAGCCGTTGCAGGGTTTATCTGTAGCTACGGGTTTAACCATTTTGTTTCTAGTGTACAATTAATTTCAATCTGGCAATTTCGGTTTATTCAACCGGTCCGAGCTATTGGGCTTATTAACGGGCCGTTACATTATCGATTCTTTAATAAATATTGATTATTTAAAACTCACAACCTCGTATGAACCGGGTTTATGCCCTTGATGGGCCTAATAGTAACATTATCGATTTTTTAACAGAAATACCCAATTCTAATAGAAGCCGTTGATGTGCCTAATAGAAGCCGTTGCAGGGTTTATCTGTAGCTACGGGTTTAACCATTTTATTTCCAGTGTACAATTAATTTCAATCTCGGAATTTCGGTTTATTCAACCGGTCCGAGATATTGGGCTTATTAACGGGCCGTTACATTATCGATTCTTTAATAAATATTGATTATTTAAAACTCACAACCTCGAATGAATCGGGTTTATGCCCTTGATGGGCCTAATAGTAAGCCTTTACATTATCGATTTTTTAACAGAAATACCGAATTCTCTAGGCTATACACTAACTTCTTCCTCAAGCTTTCTCATGAACATCAAAGAAACTTGCTCTGGCTTTGTTTGAACTCCTGCAAAAAAAATGTCTTAAGACTCAACAAAATGATGCCAAACATAAAAAAAAAGTTCACTTGAAACATTATCTGTTTCTATAAAATTACCAAATTTGATTACTCCATCTCCAAACTAAGCCTCAGAATTTGCAGCTGGAGCTTCCGAACTCGATATAAAAGGATCACTCTGCAGAAAAAGAAACAATAACAGTTACAAACCCACAAAAAAGATCAAACCTTTACGAAAATCTTCACAACAAACAAAAAAAAAACTCACAGATGCTGAAATGGAGACTTGGCTAGTGTGTGGAGACCTTCCTTGACTTCCTGCATAAAACACACTCTCTAAACTCTCTTCACCGATATCTCTCAACCTATTGAGTTCAGGCAATATCTCTTTCCCGAGATCCGGTCTATCTTTTCTTCTTAACTCCGCGCACTGAAGCGAAAGTTTTGCTAAAGACAGAGCTTCTTCCATAGGCCAGTCCGGTACTGCTGGATCAAGCATATCCTTTAGAGTGCCTTCTTCGATGGCTTGCTCAACGTAATAAGCCAAACCCATCGGCTGTTTCGCGGTCAAGATCTGCAAAAGCATGATCCCGAGCGAGTAGACATCCGATTTCACACCCAACATTCCGGTTTGTTGGTACTCAGGATCGATGTAACAGAAAGTCCCTGCAGCTGAAGTGACTCTGTACTGTGTAACGTTCTCTGCAACTGCAGGGACTAGTCTCGCTAGCCCGACATCGCTGATCTTGCTCACGTAATTGTAGTCGAGGAGAACGTTTCCCGGTTTAAGGTCTCTGTGGACGATTGGTTCAGGTTTGGTCTGGTGGAGGAAGAGGAGTCCTGTGGCGATCTCAGAAGCGATTCTGAAACGCAGCTGCCAAGTGATCGGCGGCGTGTTGCCTCGCATGAAAAGACGGTCTTCTAAGCTTCCTTTGGCCATGTATTCATAAACAAGAATCCCAAATTCTGGACAAGCTCCAAGTAGAAGCACCATGTTTGGATGCCTTATGCAGCTTAATACTTCAACCTACAAAACATTAAAACACACATATGTTTTTGTAAAGGTGAATACTTTCTTGTATAATAGCAAAAACAATTCTTTGTATTTTTTTTTGTTTACCTCTTTCTGAAACTGTGACCTTCCTTGAGCTGCATCCGGGCGTAAGACTTTAACAGCAACACTTGTGTGATCAAGAAAGCCTTTAAACACGGGACCATAGCCTCCTTCTCCTACCTTTTGAGACTCTGCGAAATTTGAAGTGGCTTCTTCGATTTCTTCGACTGTGTATTTCCTGTAACGAACACATAATCCGCGAGAGAAGGAGTCTGATTCCTTCATGGTTTTCATCTCTGCGGTCAGTCTTCTCTTAGCTTCCACCTCTGCTAGTCTCTTTGCAGCTTCTGCAGCTTCCAAGGCCGCTTTCGCTTTAGCTCTCTCCTTTTCCACTATTGACATTGCTGCTTCCTCTGAACTCTTTGCTTCTTCCATCCGTCTTTCCTCTTCGGTTCTCAGCTTTTGCAGCTCCGTCGCCTAAAAGTTAAGAAAGAAAAAAAACGAAGTTAATAAGCATGTACTAATCTCCCTCCACTACATTGCATTAGACATTAGTATTTATTACCTGCTGTCTAGCACTTAAAGCTTCTCTGCAGGCAGTACTATACATATCCATGGTTTGTTTGAGCTCCAGACGCAGCCTCTTCATTTCAGCTTCAACATCATCCTGCAACAACACAAAATCGTCTAAGCAAAATATTCTAAAATGAAATCTATCTTCAATAGAACAATAAAAAAGAGAGAGACGGTTCTTGAGTAGAACTACTACTACTACTACTAGTACTAACCAAGCTTTGAGATGAATACGAAGATGTTCGACCGCTTTCTTCAGAGAATGAATCGTTATGGAAACCAGGATCACTGAACTTGATTCCCAAGCGATGTGACCCAATGCTTTGCTCTGAGCTCGTTGAGATTCTTGAACTCCTTCCAGACTCAGGGAAATCAAGGGTGAAGGAAGAGCGATCAACGCTCGGTCTCCCTGAGCTGATGAAGGAAATGTCAGATTCTCGATGAGAAGTAGGACTGATGAATGAAAGGTCGCTATCTGAATCATATAACTCCCCATATGGTTTCATCATTCCTTGCCGTCTCCCTAACGGTGATCTGCAAGAACAAAAAAATGTTGAATCTTTTAGACTCTCAATTTAAGACATCAAAGTTAAAATCTTAGTACGTAGCTTTTAAAAAAAAAATCTTACCTTGTAGCATCTGATTCAACTGATCTACGTGGCCTAGACGGCGTAGTACCTGTTTTGCAAAATCAATGAAACACCAAACAGGATCAGCTTTTGATCAAAGCAAACAACTTTATTAGACAAAAGTTGGCTTCTTTTGAAAGAGAAATTTAACCTGCAGAATTGCTATGGTCATGGTGCTTTTGTACTTTCTCAGGAGTAATTGGCTGTTGATTGTCAAATTCAGAGAGATGCATCGAATTCTGGAAAGGAGCAGGACGAGAAGCATTTCGTACTGAAGCAATTTTGCCTTTGGAAATGACATACACATTGCAGAAATCTGGAGCTGATTTTGACACAGTTGTTGGCAGATCCGTCTTGAATCTTCTGCTCAGAATCAAACTCAAATCCTTTAACATTTACAGAATTCGATGCAAAAATCCAGACTTTGTCACAAAATCTGAAGGAAGAAGATGAGTTTACCTCATGAAGCCATTACGTGATGCTGCTCCAACGACTAAATTCTCGATTGCGGAAGTTGTAACATATTCGACAATGGCTCTGACTTTGTCTGCGTCTTCGAGTAATATGTCTCGACAATTAATCTGCTCCAAGAAACCAAAAAAAAAAACTTTAAAGGTCCAAACTTTGATAAAAACCCTTTATCGATTTTTGATTCTGAATACCTCTTTACGGGAACAATAACAGTGGAAAGATACGAAGAGATATTTCGCTAACTTCTCCGATTGCTGCTTCTGATGTGGCGTTGCTTCTTCAATATCTGCAAAGAAACATAAATGCAAAATTTTAAACTTTCCATCGAGAAGAAGCCCCCAAAAGCTGTGAAAGACATGAAGGGGAGAAGATTGGGACCTGAATGGGATTTGGAGAGGACATGAATAAGAGAAATGGTTTGGCCACGAGAAGCAAGATTGTCGATTGTCCATTTAAGAGCATGTTGGCTTCCTTTGTCTTTGTCTATTGCAACTGCCACTGAACCAGTTCCGGTTTCTTTCTTCGCCACATTTGCCTTTGGTAGCCACATTCTTTTACTTTTTTACCCTTTTGAACAAACACAGATAGACAAAAAGGTAGAAACAGAAATCTCCCTCTCGATTCTTGAAGGGAAAACACTTTACTTTATGGAGGAAACGAAGGAAATAGATGCAAGGTAAAGTTAGCAAATCAGGTTTTGTAATGGGTTCGAAGATTTCTTCTTTTTTCCTTTGATGATTATTCAAGGGTTTTATTTTTGGCCGATAGTCTAATTTCAGGTAATTTGTGTGGTTTGACTTTTTTTTTCCAACATGTTAGAAGTGTAACAAATGGTCTAACGATCACATCTCTTTATCACCTCTTGGAACTTGCCTTTCAATGGACGATAGACATCAAACCAAATATACATTCTAGAACTTTAAAATGGAGATGATCATGATGATACGTTTACTACAACAAAAACTGTATTTAACCTTTTGCATATTGAATAAAAGAAATCTTGTAATAGGTTAATCAAATCACATTTTTCCTGAATATATGTATATATATATAAAAAATTTTAATTGCAATCGTTGAGAAGTGTATTATTCATGGTAACGAAATTCGTGCGCGATATTCTGCGAGTGCCCATAACGGATGAATGTTTCTGTATGCAGCGTAGTGTAATGTGCAGTTCTTCAAAAACACTCCGGTTGCTTGCTGCAGAAGTAATCAAGCAAATCACAGTTAGGTCTTAACATTTCAAATTCCATCAGCAAATCAGTGGTGGAATTTAGTGACTCCAGCCGTCGTCTAAGATCCGATGAAACGGTTAGAGAGCCTAGAAATCGATGAGGACATAATCTAAATCTGCTTCGAGGTGTACAGAAGTTACTACATGTACCCATTTTTGTGTCGGAAGTGTACCTGTTGAGGAAAATCTCCCGTCTCCAGTTGCGAATTGATGATAAGTTTTGCAGCACGGTGAAGAGGAACCGGATCTCTCTCGGCCTGTTGTGTAAGATATAGTCATATAAAGAGATGATTCGTTAATTGTATTTTCGTCGAAGAATATTGAATGTTTTAAAACCTGTCCAGCGTGAATGAGACCCATCAAACCCCAAGCAGTTTGCACCAGGTTTGATTTTTCCCCTTCTTGTGCTATGTATCTCTGCACAGACAAGGAGAATTATAGTGACTGAATGCTCCTACATCAAGTTGATTTCATCGAAACGTGAAAGCATGTACCTTTTTGGAGCATGAGAGGTAGCTTTCTCCCCAGCCTCCGTCGTCTTTCTGAGTTGCAAGAAGAAAATCAACGCCTTTGTGTACAGCCACACAGTCACTATAAGTCTTACCAGCAGCTGCTAAGCCTGCAAGAGCAAACCATGTACCGTACGTGAAGCATGTACCCCAATTCCCATACCTGTCGATTCGAAGAACATCATCAGTTTATTCATTGGTTTGTTCGGCTTTCTGTGAATAATGCTGGAAACAGTCGCGAATTATAGTGCACCATGATCCATCAGGCGTTTGCATGTTTTCTAGGTATTGCACGGCTTTCTTAATGAAAGTGTTGATCTCCGTTGACCTGTGATTTGGGAAGAGTTGCTTGAACAGACTCAATGCTTGGATTGCAGACGACGTGCATTCGCTGTATTCATGCTCAATCACAATGTCGGAGAACAATTCTGTGGGATTGAGCAACTGATACAATAAAGAAAAGAAATAACATACGAGGAGATAAAAAGTATATTCTGGTTGTTTGTAAACATTTTATGGGTTTCGAATCTTACTTCCAACCACTTGGGAGCACCAGCAGGCTCCCAGGCAGAGACACCTCCATTTTTGCTCTGTAAACAAGTGAAACTGTCACGACCTGAAAACAGGTATTTCTTTGGAGATATTGGTTCTAAGACTGATATTGCTTACCTGCAAAGTGAGCAGGATATTAACAGAATCATATAGTCTCTCGGGCTCTAGTTTTGGACCGACTATATCCGGTGCCAACATCGAGAACAACAGGCAGCACTGAGACCAGAAAACAGCAAGGAATGTAGTACTTATGACATGATCACTAAATAGCATGTCATTGTGTTCTGTTTGAGTGGCTTATTACCTTTAAGCCATTAGCTGTGCAGTCTGAAACTTGCCATCCATGATCTCGGTCAGAGAAAGTCCATGCTCCCTTAGATATGTGACGGTACATACTTTTGAAATCACCTGAAGGGTTCTCTCTAACCTTCATATGTTTTTCAATTTGTAAGCAAATGTTCCATTCTTCAAAAATAGCAGTTAGTAATGCTGCAGGGGATATCGAACCTGTCAATTCTTTATGAACTCATGTCCTCTCCTGAGTACATCAGCGATTTCACTGGAGAGATTACTGGCAAGTACAGCTTGCATTGCAAACCCTGTATCCCAGAGTTGACTTCCAAAGCTCTGCATAAATCTGTGCCGATCAAGAAATTTTCGACTTCTTACCAACTCAATGTTGGTAAACATAACAAAATTGGATTTTCAATCTTTTGGGGACATACCTGCATTTTCATCCCATCTTCAGCCACCCACAAGTAATCAGAGATTCTAGCGAGGTGCTTCTTGAAATAATCCCCATTCGGATCTTCAACCCAACAAGCTAACATGCATAGTACCTGCATAAAGAGGTGACAGTAATTAACACCAGATGATCTATGCTTTCTGTATAAGGGTAAGGTGTTCTCACCTTTTCAACACACCCAATGGTGATATAACGGCTATTTTCATCTTCATAATGTATGTGTTTCATTGCAACCTGAAGAGCCTTTTGCCTAAGAAGCTTGTTAAATGGCCAACATGCAAGGAAAGGCTCCGCGAATATGTAAAGACTGTCCCATATCAACTCTTGAACCAGCGGTCGGTGATAGTATGTATCTTCCTACGGTAAAAAGGGAAAAAAAATGTCTCTGTATTCTTTTCCATGAAAGAAAAATCGTAAAGAAAAAAGATGATACATCCTAACATTCTCTTACCTTTGCACAAAGATGGCGGACTTTCTTCCAATTGATTTCTTCATAAGGCTGTAAGTACAGTTCTTTGCGTAGTTGCAGAATAAGAGGTGTTATTGGGCCAACAAATCGCTTCCCGTAGAGATACGACATTGGCAAGTAAACCATCCTGCAGTAGCACCACATTTTTGCTGCAGAGTTCCAAATCAATGCATAAACATACTTGTTGAGAAAAACATAAAATCACTGTGCGCCAAATCAGTTTTTTTTTTGCTCAAACCACAAGGAGACAGAGGGAGAGGCATTAAACCAAATAGAATGTCGAGAATTTAATAAACAAACCTGGAAAGAAAGAAGGTAGTAACCAGAACTCAGGAGGCATTGGGTTGCTCCCAGACCAGTCAAATACACCAAGTATCTGCAGAAAAACACAGAACGCTTACGAGAGACAATCTTTCTAGCCACTCTTGGATTATCAGGTGAACTGAACACTTACCGAAAGCCAAGTTTTACCCCAAGAAGGTATGTAGGTGACACCACCATGGGAATGGATCCATTTCCGAGCTCTTCTACATGCATTTTCATGCCCCCCATTAGGACTTTCTCCAAGTATACGCATGCATATGTAATTCAGCACGGTGCAGAACATTGTGCTATGACCTTCAATGTGTAGTCCCCACCCACCATCTTCCTTCTGCTGACAGAAAAAAACCCACCATGAAAAGAGCGAGCACACAAACCATTAACGATAATACAGTACATTTCGTGGTGGAGCTACAGATAAAACTGTACCTGGTGACAATAGATGTATCGGAGAATCTCTTTTCGATGCTCTGAAGTGAGTATCTCATCAAGATGTCCCGTGATGTAGAGACAAAACACCTATCACAAATATTTTGATTTTCAGTGAAAATTTTCGTTCATTCTTTTCAACATTCCACTTGCACGACACCTAAATCACACTGATCACAAATCAAATTCGTTCTTCAATCCAGTTAGATTCCCGTTTTCCTCTCTTCATCTTAATGTGCGATGGAAATCCATAATCCTTGATTCTATGATTAGCAGATTTTGTTACGCAGAGAGAAATTACCAGTGGCGGAAGGAAAAACAAAGGGCCGGCGTTTTCCGCCGGCCAGTGTCCGTCGGTGGCCTGCAACGCCGAGAAGAAATGCACGCCTCTCCGTAATGCATTCGTCGCCGATTCGTAAGTTATCTTCTCGGACCCTTCAACTTTCACCGGAGGTATCACTTGCTCAAACTTTCTCTCTTTCAGAAACTGATACAAAATTCGTAATTTTTTTGAAGGATAGAGAGATATTTCGTAAATAAACTTCTGTTGGGGGTTTGTTCGTAGTTTCTCAAATTATTTCACATTTTTTTGTTTTTGTCTTCAATATAAAAGTATTTTATTTTTCACTGCAAACATGTATGTTAGTTGAACATTACAAAAATGAACAACATAAAAAACTTTTTTTAATATAGCTCACATTTTTCATTTCAAAATACATGTATGTTATAGTTGAACATTATTACATGAACATTAGTACATGAACATTACACAAAGTTGAACATTACAAAATTAAACAACATAAAAACTTTTTTAGTAAATGATATAAGTGAGCTAATTTTAAATTTTACTTTTTCATCAAATGAGGAAGTGATTAGGTAATCAAAATCATTCGTGTCACTTCTAAAAATGCATGTTAAGAGTAACAATTACCAATATATAACGTACCTGAATGCGCCACAAGATATCACTGCTAGCTTTGACACGAGAACGGTTGTCGTAGAAACTCCGGCGAGCCTCAATGACGGCGTTTCGTTCCTCCGGCGTGCCTGCGTCAGGATCAAACTCCCATGTTTGTCGTCCGGCGAAGTTGTTTGTAGTGTATAAGTATGGATCATCTCCGTTTCCTTCTCCTATCTTCAATCTCCACATTACAAAATTGTGAGCTGTTTGATCATTTATTAAACATATGTGTATATATAAGTGTGTGTGATATTCACGCTGTTTTGTATATTCGCATTTCTAAACATATGATAATAAAACACCGACAAGAAGAGGTTACTTCCGGAGTTGGATAATAGAGAATTAAGAGACAAAGAAGAGATTACTTGTTGGTGGAAAAGATTTTGGTTAATCTTGTATACGTACATATTAATATCATACACATATTTAATAAGAAATGTGTATGTATGAATGTATAAGATCAGTGTAGTTTGCTTATTCAGTAGACAAGTCCAACCACTTACACATAAATAATATTTAGCTTACAACAAAAGTTATCTTCTTCTTATCTTCTCTCTTTTCAAGGTTCTTTTTCAGATGGCAATGGAACTCGTCTCCTATACTCTGCGAGCGCCCACACTGGAAATATGTTTCTGTATGCTGCGTAGTGTAACAAGCAATTCTTCATGAAAGCTCCAGTTATCTCCTGTAGATATATAAAACTTGGACTCTTGATAAGCTAGTCTTTCGAATTGAAGAACCATAGCATTCTACATAAATCTTTAGAGGGTTTCATGTTAACTTTCTTTAATGATTTCAGAAGTACCTGCTGAGGAAAATCGCCGTTCTCTAGTTGGGAGTTGATCAAGAATTTTGCAGCCCGGTGAAGAGGAGTCGGATCTCTTTCAGCCTGTGATGTGAGATTAGAAGAAACATTTCAAGGGGATGATGACTAAGATCTTTCCTATATATAAGCGATAAGTAGACAAAGTTCTTAGCATGTCGCGGTTCTGAACCTGTCCTGCATGAAGTAAACCCATCATTGCCCAAGAGGTTTGCACCAAGTTTGATCTCTCCCCTTCACTTGGAATGTATCTCTGTACACCAAACTAAATTATATTTCTTCTTGAACTGCAGGAAGTGTACATTGCAATGATATTTGGTGATTATACCTTTTTGTAACATGACAAGTAGCTTTCACCCCAACCTCCATTATCTTTCTGGGTTGTGAGAAGGAAATGAACGCCTTTACGCATAGCCAAACAGCTATTGTACGTCTTTCCAGCAGCTGCGAGGCCTCCAAGACCAAACCATGTACTATATGTGAAGCAAACTCCCCAACTTCCGTACCTATCAATCCAAAAGATTTGTTGGCATCACCTAAATCTTTGTGAACAATTTCAACGTGTCTAAAAGCTAAATGTATATTATTATACCATGAACCATCAAGCATTTGTATGTTCTCTATGTATTGCACGGCTCTCTTGATGGAACTGTTGATCTCTTCTGTCCTGTGATTCGGATATAGTTGCTTGAACAGAACCAAAGCTTGGATTGTTGATGAAGTGCATTCATTGTACTCATGCTCAACCACGATGTCAGCAAAAAATTCAGTAGGATTTAGCAACTGAAACAAGAAAGAAAAAAAAGTGAAAGATGCATCTGAGACTTTCTTTCCCGGGCCTCACAAGCCTTTTGATATAAAATCTATCGTAATGGGATTTCGTTCTTACTTCCAACCATTCTTGTCCCCGGGCAGGCTCCCAAGCAGTTACACCTCCATTTTTACTCTGCAGCAAGATAAATTTTTCTATCCATGAAGCAGTTACACCTCCATTTACGAGGAAGTGCCTTCTATATAAAATTAAAAGCTCACCTGTAGAGACAGTAGGATAGTAACAGCCTCATATAACTGTTCGGGATCCAATTTCGGGCCAACAATGTCAGGTGGCATCATCGAGAGCAACAGGCAACACTGTAAACCAAGACACGTGTGCTAGTTAGGTGGAAAGCTGGCCCATTCGCAATAGTAATCGAAATATTCTGACTAATCACCTTCAGTCCTTCGGCTGTGCAGTCAGAAGCTTGCCATCCATGATCCCGATCGGAGAAAGTCCACGACCCTTTAGACATATGACGGTGCATGCTCGTGAAGTCAGATGAAGGGTTCTCTCTAACCTTCAAAAATCTCAGTTCTGTAAGACATGTTAACTTGTTCTGATAGTTTCAAGTCACAAAATCATACTGCAGAGGATATCCTCGAACCTGGGAATTCTTAAAGAAGTCATGTCCTCTCCTGAGTACATCAGGGATTTCATTAAAGAGATTACTTGCAATAATAGCTTGGAGAGCAAACCCAGAATCCCATAATTGACTTCCAAAGCTCTGCAAAAATACATGTCTCAGGAACTCAAGAATTTTTGTATGCCGTATGAATTACCCTTTTAGCAACATAAAAATTAGATTCCAAATTCTTCATTGATACCTGCATTTTCATCCCATCTTCAGCAATCCACAAGTAATCAGAAATCCTCAGAAGATGCTTCTTGAAATGAATTCCGTTAGGGTCTTCAACCCAACATACAAGCATGCATAATGCCTTCATAAAGAAATCTGAGGTTTTCAGTTAACTTGAAGATAAATTCTGACCACTCCGGCATTTCGATTGTATTCGTTTTTACCTTTTCAACACATCCAATGGTGATATAACGGCTATTTTCATCTTCATAATGTATATGCTTCATTGCCACCCCAAGAGCTTTTTCCCTGAGGACCTTGTTGAATGGCCAACATGTAAGAAGCGGCTCTGAGAAGATGTACAGGAAGTCCCATATAATATCTTGAACCAGTGGACGGGGATAGTACGCATCTTCCTGAAAATAAAGTGGCAAGGTTTTCTGTGAATCTCCCTTCCTAGCAAAAAACCATCTAAAGAAGAACAATAATCATTCTTACCTTTGCACATAGATGGCGTGCTCTGTTCCAGTTTATTTCCGCATAAGGTTGTAAGTATATTTCTTCCCGAAGTTGCAGAATAAGAGGACTTATAGGACCAACGAATCTCTTCCCGTAAAGATAAGACATTGGCATGTAAACCAGCCGGCAGTAACACCACATTTTCGCTGCAGATTTTCATTTTACTATGTCAAACCAAAAATTCAGAAGTGAAGAACGCAATTTCAAGATCTCAAGTCTTATAACGCAAAACACAGGGCAGGGGGATAATTTCCTCTTAACCTGTGGTACCGTATAACTATTAACCTCACCGTACAATGTCTCTTCTACAATTCTTAATTCATTGTTACACACCCTAAGCACTACTTGTTTTATTTACCAGGTTTTTAAGTAAGCTATTGAGGACAAAAGCTGAAGATATTCAAGATGTTGTGAAATAAACCTGGATGTATAGGAAGACACGAAGGTAGGATCCAAAACTCTGGAGGCATGGGGTTGCTCCCTGACCAATCAAAGACACCGAGTATCTACAGACATTCCACCAAAATCAAAACAACCTTCATGAATCTTCTTTTGCCTATTTGAGCTACAAAAAAAAAAAATAAGAATCATCCAGATATATACCGAGAGCCAGGTTTTGCCCCAAGATGGTATGAATGTTGCACCACCGTGGCCAAGAATCCATTTCCTGGCACGTTTGCAAGCGTTACCAGGTCCTCCATTAGGACCTTCTCCAAGTATGCGCATGCAAATGTAGTTAAGTGTGGTGCAGAACATCGTGCTGTGGCCTTCTATGTGTAATCCCCACCCACCATCCTCATTCTGCAAATCAAACTCATCTCAATGAAAGAGCTTGTAAAGTAGCAAAAGTGGTGCGTTTTGGTTTTGCAGGTGTGCTTGGAATGTATGTACCTGGTGACAGCAGATGTATCGAAGGATCTCTCGACGATGCTCTTTAGAGAGTATCTCGTGAAGATGGCCAGTGACGAATAGGCAGAATACGAGTGGAGGAAGGAAGAACAAGGGACCAGCGTTTTCTGCAGGCCAGTGTCCATCACTTGCCTGCAATGCCGATAAGAAGTCGACTCCTCTCCTCAACGCGTTTGTAGCTGTTTCGCTCGTTATCTTCTTGGCGTCTTCAACCTTCACCGGAGGTATGGCTTGCTCGAATTTCTTCTCCTTCAAAAACTGCATCAATCATCCAACGGGTGATGAGCAAAACCAAACTACAGGATTCTCGTCTAAAACGATTTGAATCAAAGGCGCTAATGACACAAACTCCAATTATAATCAACACATGACCATCGATTACTGTCCCATCATCACCGTTATCTCGATCGGATTTTGAAAAAGAAGGGATTGTTGTTTTGTTTCACTCCAGCGAGCGAACCCAGTTGAAGAAGAAACACGATTAGGATTCTAGTGGGAAGGTGAAGCGAGAGGGGGGATTTTCCTCTCGCCTCTCAGCTATGAAAATCGAAATTGCATTGAAGCTGAGGGCGTTAGTAATTACCGGCGACGTTGAGTAAAGTCACCGTCGAAGGTTTGGAATCTGTTCTGGCGAATTTCCCCGGCGAAATCTTTTAGTCTGTTTATTTATTGTTAGGCCCTTACAGTTATAATAAATTTACAATTCGGGTCTAATCTTTGTGGAATTGTTTAAAAATAACAATTGATTACTTTTTAAAAGAAAGTTAAATAAATTTGAATTATTATTTCGAGTCAAATTGTTTTTTTTATTATTTGAGTTGTAAATATTTTTTTTTTTTGCTGAATGAGTTGTATACTTCTTGATTTTAAATAAAAAGGTAAACGGTTTTGTCTTTTAAGGTTAGCCAAACACTAAAAATATGGACCTAACCCATAATCACGTTCTTTTGCCAGTTGCATGTATAATGCATAATCTTTTCATTAATTAGCATTAAATGTAAACTGAAAACATATAATCTTCTACCGAAATGGGATATACTTCTTGATATCAATGCACGAAAAATACTTTACTTTGCAACTTTTTTTTTCTTACAACCTTACATCATTTTAATCAACCATCGTGATTCGTGTACATATATTTGCATAATATTCTACGCAACCCTTTGTCTAAAAATTAATTTTTTTATATATTCTATGTTTATACATAAGTTAGACGTGCATGCATGCATTCTAAATAGACTCAATCAATTTAAGCTTGTAATGATCAACATAAGTTGTACTTGACACTATAAATGTTTATGAATTCGACAGTGAACAGAACTGTTGGATTTTTTTTTAAATATCTAAATACTAAAACAAGGTGTTTAAGGAATATTGTTCAATTTTTATAATGTTTCACAGCTTCATTTTCTTGCTTAGGTCTTGATAATGATAGGATATAAAAAATCAGTTATCAGTTATAAGTAAGTACATAATCTAAAATACGACAAAAAAAGAGAACATTTATTTCGCATTTTGGTTTGCCAAAAGTTACTTTTAATTTATAAACTATTGTTGACAATTAAGAAAAACGAGAAATTATTACCTGCATACGCCATATGAGATCACTGCTAGCTTTAACCCGAAAACGATCATCAAAAAATTTCCGGCGAGCTTCTTCGACGGCGGTCCGTTCCTCCACTGTGCCGGCGTCTGGATCAAACTCCCATGTCTGCCGTCCGAGGAAGTTGTTGGTGCTGAACAAGTAGGGATCTTTGTGTCCATTTGCTATCTTCAACTTCCACATTCTTTAGATCTTAATTAATTAATTAATGATCTAAACAATGGCGTACTTCTATGCATCGAGTATATATAGAGCGATGCACGTAATATATGTGGAGAAAAGAAGAGAAGTAGTTGAAATTGAATTGATTTACACGGGTACACATACATAATTCGTTGTGAAAGTTTTCTGAGTTTATAACTTTTGAAAAACCTTGGTTCAAAAGAAAAAAAAAAACTTTTGAAAAACCTAAGAAAAAAGAATTATATATTTTTATTTTGCATGAATATTTGAGTTGGTACGTATCCGGAACAAACCCACAATAGTAAAAGTTGGGTTCATATTCCTCACAATAGTAAAAGTTTACATTATATTTATGTTTATGTTTATATTACATTAATCAAGATACATATATATAAACTTTATACCTAATCTTATTTGTAGTGTACATTTCGCTGACAACAAAAAAATGTCACGTTTCAAAGGTCTGCATGCATGGGTTTGAAAGCAACGTTTCAAAGGTCTGCATGCATGGGTTCGAAAGCAACCTTAGGAGAACACTCGGTGGTAACATTTTTATAATCGTAAATTATCAGAGAAACATCCTCACTTATCACCCAAAGCCCATAAGTCATCCGCAAGTATTTGTATAATTTAAGTCCAGCCTGCGCAAGCACGGGCCCTAAATACCATATTCACGAATGAAGAAGAGAAAATTCGCAGTTGTGCATATAAGAATTGGACACACTCTTATATATATAGTATTCGTGAAGAATAAATTATATATATATATATATATTATAGCTTAAATTAGCAATAGTTTACTACTACTTTTTATAAATTCAAATAGTTGTAAACAATTGAAATTCAAAATAAAGACTAACAACTTAATTGAAATGTTACAAAATATTATATTATCTACGTTTTTATGGTTCATTTTTTTAATATAGTTCGTTCTTATAAATTTACGTACGAGGCTTGAACCAAAACATTAGAAAAACAAAATGTTTTATGGTGTGAGCCAAAGCTGTAGATATGTTAGATTACGATCGCATTTGATAAATTTAAAACATTAAACTCAACTTTTACTGTATAAATTTACATTATAAAATGTCAGAGCTTTCTTTTTACGGCATGCACTTCAAGAGTTAAATGGTTAATCATCAGATATGTTTTTAGGAATAACATAGAGATTAGATCATTATTTTATAAATTTGAAACATTAGACTTAACTTTTACTGTAGAAATTTACACGATAAAATTTCAGAGCTTTCTTTTTATGGCATGCATTTCGAGAGTTAAATGGCTAATCATAAACGTAATGACAAAATAAAACGCCGAACAAAGAATTCGAAACGGTGCAAAACCAGCATTAACTGTTTCCCTCCTCAGAAAAATTAAGGAAAAAAGCAAATAATTTAACTTTTTATGGAACAGTCAATACAATAATTAAAGAGTTTTCCACGTGACTGGTACGTATTAATAGCTCAACTGAGATTTTCTCGCTAATTAGTGACAAATAAAACGCCGAACAAAGAGTTGCGGTCGCACACCAACACGTCACATCACGGTACTAAGGATGATCTTTGTGTGGACCCATTCGACATGTGGTCGTGTGTTAGGGTTGATTGCCATTTGACAAATTGAGTAGGTTCACTTTCACGTTCACTTTCACTACTTATGTTTTTGTCATTTTACTATTCCAAGAGCGTAACTTATCATGTGCCGGCCACATTTATGAACGCGTACCATCGTTTCCCTTTAGCCATTAAGATGATGACATCTGCCCACTCTCCATCTAAGAGTAAATGTGGCGTTTATGGTTAGGTGTCCCGACGGTTGTGACTTGTGATTGGATATTATATATATACTCGTATTCGATTTGATTTATAAAAATTCAAATCAATTTCCTAAAATACATTTTGGAATCGTCAAATGTGTATTTGGTAGTTAACAGTTGGGATTTATCTACACACGGTTCAAAAACAAGTGGCCTCTAATTTACCACCTCGTCCAGTAAGTTTAGATACATGATAGATATAGACCAAACAAAATATAAGTACACAGTTTTATTGTCTTATTTTGTTTATTATTTTTTCAGAGTTTTATTGTATTTTCTAAAACAAATAAAAAATACAAGCTGAAGTACATGGTACTATATGTATGGTTCTAAAAAAAAAACTCCTAAACTGCTTCTTCTTTATCATAAAAAAAAACTGTTTTTACCTACTCACTACTCTTTTAGCAACAAAAAAATTGGTTTGAATGATCATAAGTCGTAAAGACCAACAAAATTAAACTAAGAAAATAAACAATTAACCAAAAAAATATACTAAGAAAATTAGTTTAAAAAATCCTTCAAAATTTAACTATGAAAAAATAATTAATTACGATAGTCCTTTTAAGTGGTCTCTACACTCTCTCGCAAAATCAACAGCAGAGTATTTCGTTCACGTCTTTTCTATTTGGAGTAGCATGAACTAAACATGTGGGCCATTTCATTTATTAAATTTGATTTTCGGGAGTATGTGAATTTTGATAGCTTTTGGCATTGATGTGGGAAGGATGGATATTGTAGTAAATATATTGCATTTTAATATTTGGCATTGTTTTAATATTTAAATATTTATATAAAGATTAATAAAATTTACATATAAATATAATAATTATACAAATGTTAACTATAGTAGACATTCGTTTTTCGTGTTGATATTTTAGTATTTATGATTTACTTATTTTATTGATTTTTAGTATGATTTATTTTATATGGAATTTCCGATTGAGTTATAATTCGAAACAGTTAACAGATTGAATCAAATTTAAAAGTTATTTTGCCCAACTCTAGATGAAAGATTGAGAGTGCGAAACTAGCCACTGGTTTACAATTTTAATAAGAACTTGATTTAGTTCACTAAGTCCTACTGTAAAAAAAAACAAAACAAAAAGTTCACTAAGTCCTGTGAGTTCATTTATCTTTACTCCAATTAAAAAGCAAATAATAGTGTCGACAAAAAAAAGAAGAAAAACATATAGCCTCTTTAATTAATAATCCAAATTAAATCACTCTTAGCTAATGCGTTCTTGACGCCTATATAAACATACGTACATATATGAACCTCTTCCAGACTATCAATTTATCAATCTTATAGGCAAACCTCTGGCCAACACAAATAATCTCTATTTCTATCTCTTACTCGCTGATCATCTTCTCCATCTCATATTCTTTACACGAGGGCTCTTCACATACAAATTAAGTCATATACAACATATATATATATGTATGTAAGTATTATATATAGTGTTAATTTATATCTACCGTACGTATATGGTATACGCAACGCACTCGGCACTACACTATTTAGCATCATGCGATTATTTACATGACATACACTACACTATATATCATAATTAAATCAGGGAGTTTATATATATATATATATCCATTATGAACTGTACGTATACATAGGATCATCGTCGGTATGTGGAAGTTGAAGATAGGGGAAGGAAATGGGGAAGACCCTTACTTGTTCAGCAGCAACAACTTTGTCGGACGTCAAACATGGGAGTTTGATCCCAAAGCCGGCACACCGGAGGAAAAAGCCGCCGTAGAAGAAGCTCGCCGGAATTTCTTGGTTAACCGTTCTCATGTTAAAGGTTGCAGCGATCTCTTGTGGCGAATGCAAGTAAGTTCTTTTTGTTCGGTTCACAAGTGAGTTTATTTGCTAATATCATGACAAAAATTGCCCTAAAATATCATCAATAAGGTTCTAAATTTGTAATATTGACCAGATTTTTTTTTGTTTTCCCTCAGAAATTGTGTTTATCGTGGTTACGATCTCGTATTTACCTTTAATGTTTCACTCATATGTAATGTAACTATACAAAATTCCTAATTTGTATACAGTTAAATTACAACCACATAACTAATGCTATGGTTTTGCTAAGTACACAACTGTCATCAAGTCGTCAAATTTCTCGTAAAAAGAAAACTGAATGTTATATTATTTATCAGTGCCGTTTTGGAAACACTAAGGATCTGTGTTGATAATTTAAGTTTTTTTTTTTGTTAAAGGGCCTATTTAAGTATGTTGCCCTATAATTTAAGCTATAAGATTAAAATAATTTATTAGAATAAAAATGGAATCTTAATATATAGAGTTTACAATACTTAACCAAATCGACTTGTTCCTTTTTTTGTTCAAGAAGGAAAAGAAACTTCTATTTAGGGCAGTCATTATAATCAGAAAGCCCTTAACAAAAAAAAAAGAGATAATCAGACAGTTAAACCTTATTATGGCTTTGAAACTTTTACAAATAAAAAGACAAAAAGAAGCAACCAATGACAAAAATCGCGGTAAAACTTTTTAGTTTTGGGCCCTAAAAGTGAACGGTCCATATCATTTTAGAACAAAAATAATAATGTGGAAACGTGGGGGAAAAGATGTTTCTAATTTCCTTTTTCAGCGCGAATTAAATGTTTTTGTTTTCGTCAGAGTTGATTTCATTTGATTGCGACTTGTGAGCACAGTTTTTGAAAGAGGCGAAATTCGAGCAACTGATCCCGCCGGTGAAGATTGACGACGGCGAAGGCATAACTTATGAAAAAGCGACGAACGCGTTACGGAGAGGAGTGTCCTTTTTCTCGGCTTTGCAGGCCTCCGACGGCCACTGGCCGGGAGAAATCACCGGACCTCTCTTCTTCCTTCCTCCGCTGGTATGTTTCTCTTCTGATTTCCTTTCGATACTGTCAATTTCTTTCGCTATGTCTGTCTATCGGCGAATACTCTTAGGGCTCGAATTAGGGATTTATAGTTTCTAATTGGGCGAGAAATTAAAAGAATCTCTGTCTCCGATAAGGAGCTAACGAAGATGAATCACTGAAACGGAGAAAATTTTCCTGCAGGTGTTTTGTTTGTATATCACAGGACACCTCGAGAAAGTTTTCGATGCAGAACATCGCAGAGAGATGCTTCGACATATCTACTGTCACCAGGTACTTCCC